CTCCTCGTGGGAGCACGAGGCGGCGCCGATACAGTCATCAATGTAACTGAGGAAGAGGTGGGGTTTAGGGCCGGTGTAGGTACGGAAGAGGAATTGTTCCACGTAACCTACAAAGAGGCAGGCGTAGCTTGGGCCCATGCGGGTACCCATGGCTGCCCCCTTTGTCTGTAGGAAGTGGGAGGAATTGAAAGAGAAGTTGTTGAGTGTGAGGACGAGTTCGGCTAAGCGGATGAGGGTATCAGTGGAGGGGGACTGGTCGGGCCTGCGGGACAGGAAGAAGCGGAGGGCCTTTAGGCCATCTGCATGGGGAATGCAGGTGTAGAGGGACTGGACGTCCATGGTAAAGATGAGGTGTTGGGGACCAGGGAGTTGGAAGTTCTGGAGGAGGTGGAGGGCGTGGGTGGTGTCACGGACATAGGTAGGGAGTTCCTGGACCAAGGGGGAGAAAATGGAGTCCAGATAGTTGGAGATCAGTTCGGTGGGGCAAGAGCAGGCGGAGACAATGGGTCGACCAGGGCATTCAGGTTTGTGGATTTTGGGAAGGAGATAGAAGCGGGCAGTGCGGGGTTGGGGAACAATGAGGTTGGAGGCCGTGGATGGGAGGTCACCTGAGGTGATGAGGTTGTGGATGGTTTGGGAGATGATGGCTTGGTGCTCAGGGGTGGGGTCATGATCAAGGGGGCGGTAGGAGGAGGTGTCGGAGAGTTGGCGTCTGGCCTCGGCGATGTAGAGGTCAGTGCGCCATACTACAACTGCGCCTCCCTTGTCCGCGGGTTTTATGGTGAAGTTGGGATTGGAGCGGAGGGAGCAGAGGGCTGCACGTTCTGCAGGGGAGAGGTTGGAGTGGGTGAGAGGGGTGGAGAGGTTGAGGCGATTGATGTCTCGACGGCAGTTGGAGATGAAGAGGTCGAGGGAGGGTAGGAGGCCTTGGGGTGGTGTCCAGGAGGAGGGGGTGTGTTGGAAGCGGGAGAAGGGGTCAGTAGAGGGAGGGTTAGGTTCACGGTTAAAGAAGTAAGCGTGGAGGTGGAGGCGGCGGAAAAACTGCTCTATGTCCAAGCGTGAGCGGTATTCGTTGATCTGTGGGTGGAGGGGGCCAAAGGTTGAGCAACTGGGTTAGTGTGTTATAAGAATAAGTAGGCAAAAGGTAGGTTGTCTTTCCCGCTGCTGGGACTTCTCATATGGAAGAGAAAATGCATTGTTCTTTTTTTTTTTTAAAACACAAAAGTGGTTTGTTCAGCCATTTTAATCCATTTGTTTTGCATGAATTTTTAACTAAGCATCAAAAGTTAAGACTGAAAAATATAATGGGCTTTCAACTGAAATAATTTCACATTGATTTTAAGGGAGCCATTAGAATTTGTCAAGTGTGAATGACAGTTTATTGAATAGATCTGGATTCTGTTCAACAGGAACTATTTATAACTTTGTATTTTAGTTATTTTTTGAGTTCAAAAGTAAGTTTTACACTTCTTCATGGAATGAGCATTCCCATTATTTCTCTTAAGGTGATCATTGTGAGTCACGCCCCTGAGACACTGCTGTCTGTATAACATGAAGATTCATAAAATATTATAGTTTCAGAGCTTGTGTTCTGAAGGGGAAGAATGGCAGCTTAATTTTGAATTTTTTTTTGTGTTAAGAAAGGGAAGATGTATTTTTAGTTTTATCTTAGAATTTTTCTGAGTGATGACAAGATTTCTGGAGATTTGTTTCATTTAAGTGCATTTTAGTGCAGTATTTAAATCTTTAAAGTATACTGTTCAGTGCATGAGAAAGCAAAGGTAAACAAAAAGACTGTTTGCCTACCAACCAGAGTCCAGTAGCACTCAGTCAGAATGATTCAGAAGAAATTAAGCAGCGTGCAGGTTCATTCAGAGATATGAACTCTGAAAACAGAGGTGCCTTTATTTACAGTCTCCAAGTAATCTGAGCTTAAAAAAAGAATTCCTGAGTGGCTTAGAAATCAGTAAATGTAAAGCTACAGTGATGTCAGAGAGAAAGATATCCCATAAAGATATTGAAGATGCGCGTTCAAGGAACTTGTTAAGAAGTAGATGAGCTGAGTTTGCACCCTTTTTTAAGGGTCTCAGGTACGGACATTAATTGAATCAAAAAGTGTCAGGAGAATGCAGAAATTTGACAAAAAGAACCATGTGACAGCCATGCTAACTGAATAAGAGCTTTACCATGGACATAGGGTAACCCTTCCCTGAGAGTTAAGTGAAGAGTTCAATCTTTCCTTCTGACATTTTGTATTAAGAACGTTTTAAAAAGTTTTTGAACAGTGTAAAATAATTTGTGTTTTTCTTTGTGTATAGTAAACTTTGTTATTTTATTGAAAGTACATTGACAGGATCTTGTGAATATGTTAAATGCCTGACAACCATATAAACTGAAAAAAATGAACCAGCTGGGATCATTAAATATAACGTGGAAGTACCCCCACAGTAGTGGTAGGTAGAGAGCTCAAATTCATTGATTTGGCAATGATGAAGAATTGTTGATGCATTGTATCAAGATGGTGTATGTCTTTGAATTGAATTTGAAGGTCGTGGTGTTTCCTTGCACTTGGTGATACAAGTTCCAGGTTTGGTAGGTGTTGCTGAAATCTTTTTGAGGTGTGCAGTGCATCTTGTAAATGATATGTAAACTGATGGACTTGCACTAAACATATAGGACCATACATTTAAAAGCTATATCCACATTGCAGCTCTGCATGTCCATGTTTTGCAGTTGTGAATTTTTAGGTTTTGAATAAAATGTCACCTTGTATTTAATAGATATGATAATCCAAAGTGAGTAGCTAAACTTACTTAAATAAATACCAACACTGTTTTACATATTTACAAGATAGACAGAGATGAAAACTTCAGGATAGATACTAATTGAAATCAGTTTGTCAGGTCCAAGCTGCAACTTTCTTAGCTATATTTATCTTCTCAATAAAATTGCAGTTTTTGATTTCCTTTGCTTAGCGTGGAATCTTCACTCATGGGCACTGCTGCAATAAGATGATGGCTGCCCCAATTCCATCATCTTTGTGTGAAGCAGATTTGTTCACAAGCTGGGTATATAGTTTCAAAATAATAGATTGACAGCACAAAGAAAGGCCCTGTGGCTGCTCAAATGTATCTGTCAGAAACAACCATCTAACTATTCTAATCACATTTTCCAGCACTTGGCCCATAGCCTTGTATGCTTTGGCATAACGAGTGCACATCTAAATAACACTAAAATGGTATGAGGATTTCTGCCTCTATCACCCTTACAAGCATCTGAACAAATTGTGCAATAGCATCCATCTGTCTGTGTGCTGAACATTATACTTGAGGTAGATTGCAAACCATGGGAGGAAAGACCACTAGTTTGGCTCCAACTGCTATTTGCCAGGTATGCTTTACTTCATTCTTGCTAAAAGGCATTGCAGGAATTGCAATTCCCTTAAATGTATGGCTGGCAAAGTATAGCATACAACAGTAGAATGGGCCTGGCAATGTGTAACCACTGGTATATCTCTGTTCTATGTTAATTACTAAACATAAGGAAGGGAAGCAAGTTGAGACTAATGTTAATGCAGCAATTTGTAATAGAATGGAATGAAGTTAATTGATTTTAAGTTTTTCTTTTTAAAGGATGAAAAAAGAGGACCAACTCTCATTGCTGTACAATCGAAGTGGCAGCTAAAGAGGCTGACAAATGGGATGTCAGTTCTGGATGAGTTTCCATTGGTGCCTGTTCATGTAATTGATGATATTAGTTATGGTGTATTGGATTGGCAGCGCCATGGTGTCCGTAGAATGATCAGACACTACCTCAACTTGGATAGTATTCTGTCCAAGGCTTTTGAGATGGCCAGGTAAGAGAACTTACAGTTCCCAAAAGTAGACCACAGCTGACTGTACAACATGTCTGTCTCTGGGCAAGTAAACCAGAGCCCCAGGCTGTTGTTCCAGGGTCATGGGTTCAAATCCCAGCATGGCGCATGTGGAAATTTGAATTTGTTAGAAATCTGGAATTAAAAGCTTAATCTAATGGCAACCATATAATCATTGTTATTGTTGTTAAACACCCATGTGGTTCACTAATGTCCTTTAGGGAAGGTTCTCTTTAGAACGACGAAGGATGAGAGGTGACTTGATAGAGGTGTACAAAATGATCGGTAGACAGCCATAGACTTTCTCCTAGGGTGGAGGTAGCTTTTACGAGGGGACATAGTTTTAAAGTGAAAGGAGGTAGATATAGGGGAGACGTCAGAAGTAGGTTCTTTACTCAGAGAGTGGTAGGGGCATGGAATGCATTGCAGGAGAGGGTAGTGGAGTCGGCCTCGTTAGGGGCATTTAAGCGGCTATTAGATAGGCATATGGATGATAGTATAAGGTAGCGGTGGAGGTTAGATAGACCTTAGGTTTAGGGTAAAAGTTCGGCACAACATCATGGGCCGAAGGGCCTGTACTGTGCTGTACTGTTGTATTTCTATGTTCTATTCTTATCTGGTGTGACATTCATGTGACTCCAGAATCTGTGGTTGATTGTCACTCAGATTTGGCGGCAACTGGAAATGGGCAATAAATGCTGGCCAGCAATGCCCTATTTCATAAACCTTTTTTTGTGGAAATGGGAGAATAAGGTAGAGGGAAACCAGCAGGAACCTGCCATACATTGGAATTTGCATTGTTGGTCATCCTGTCTGTGTGTTTGAGAAAAGGCCTGAAAAAGTATAATCTTCCATTATTCTTGCATACCTTCAAGTGCAAGGTGTGTGGTAATATTGGCAGAGGTTCTAGGGAAAGTTCCTCAATGTCTTTTTGGGGGAGGTGCCGACACGTCCAGCAGAAGAAGAAATTTTTGTTTTAAAGTTGAGGCAAAACTTTAAACGGTGGAAGGGAAGTGCACACCCACATAACTACCTGAGGCTGACAGAATTTGAATAGATCACATTCTATCATTTTGGCTGAAGTTACTTGTGCAGTGCATGCTCACTGCGTCAGGGATGTCTCGGGAGTAATGAAACAAAATAAAATAAGAGCATGAAAGCTTGTTTCAGTAAATTGTAATGTAGTAAGTAAGTGTTGTTTTATACTAATTACATAATTTCTTTTCAGATATTATCATATTCCTATTGGAAATCTTCCAGATGACATCTCAACTTTTGGATCAGACCTCTTCTTTTCCAGACATCTTAGACAACACAACCATCTGCTGTGGCTTTCCCCAACATCACGACCTGATCTAGGAGGAAAGGAGGCAGACGATAATCGCCTGGTCATGGAATTTGAAGAAAAGTCAACAGTTGAGATTAATAATCCAGGGTGTTACTCTACAGGTACATAGGTTGCTGTACAACAGTAGATCTTTTTTTAAAAGGATAATTACACTCTTTTAAATTGTTGAGTGTGGATTGCCCATACTTCACACTCGAATTCTCAAAAACGCAGTACAATAAAATAACGGGAGCATGAAGAATAGCACAAAAGAATCAACCCTAGAAAAAAACAGCTGTATTTGCATAGGCCATGCTGCATGGTTTACATGGAATAGCAAATAGTGGGCCAGGTTGCAAATGATGCCACTCATAAGTGCTTTGAGTAAAATTTTCACCTTTCTAGTTAGTTTTGTATAGTGCTTGTTCCTTCATAACAGCTGCAACAAACAAAGAAGTAAAACAACTTCTTTTACGTCTTTTTCAGACAGAGGATAAGAGTATCAGCAATTAGGGCAATAAGACATAGGAGCAGAAGTAGACTATCCATTGCATTGAGTACGTGCTACTATTCAATGATATCATGGCTGATTTGATGATCATCAACTCCACTTTTTCCTGTCTTTTCCCCCATAAACTCTGATTTCCTTCCTGATTAGAAATTTATCACAGCCTTGATTATACTTAAAGATACAGCTTCCACAGCAGTAGAAAAATTTCACAGATTTGCTGCCCTTCTGAAGAGAAGAAATTGTTCTCATCTCTGCTTTAAATGGATAACCCCTTATTCTGAGATTATACCCTCTGATCCTAGACTCTCCCGAAAGAAGAAATGACTTTCCACATCTACCCTGTCAAATCTCCTAAGAATCTTGTAAGTTTCAATAAAGTTGTCATCTCCCCTCCTCCTAAACTTGAATGAATGCAGTACCAAGCTATTAAAGACAGTGCCTTCATAATTAGGATCAATCTTCTGTGGGGACTGCCAGTAAATCTTTATCCTTAGCCCTGAGATTCAATGTAAATTAATTCATCTGTCTGATTCAGAATTTCACACTGGCTGGGTCTTGGGCAATACATGATCCTGTCTAATCCCACAGCATCTGCATGCAAGGAAATTTAATCTTAGCGACTGAGAGAAAAATGTAGTTTTAACTCTGATTTGTTGAAGGTGCAAAGGTAGCAGCAGCTTTGTTGAATGTAGGCACCACTGGTAAGATCAATATTTATTAGCCGTCCCCAATCACCTTTGTCAAAATGATGATGAGCAACGTAAGTACAACTGAGTGACTTATATAGAACAGTACAGCATAGGAATAGGCCCTTTGGCACATGTTGTTGTGCCGAATGTGATGCCAAATTAAACTGATCCCTTCTGCTTGCCCTTGGCCCAGATCCTTCCATTCCTTGCAAATTAATGTGCTTATTTAAAAGTCCCATAAATGCCCTATCATACCTGCCTCCTCCTCCACCCTTGGTAGAGCTTTCCAAACTCCTACCACTCTGTGTGTTTTAAAAAAAAACTTGACCCTCACATCTCTCAGAATCACAGAATCCCTACACTGTGGAAACAGGCCCTTCAGCCCAACAAGTCCACACTGGTCCTCAGAGCATCCCACCCAGATCCATCCCCCTATAACCCACCTAGTCTACACATCCCTGAACACTGGACAATTTAGCATGGCCAATCCACCGAGCCTGCACATCTTTGGACTGTGGGAGGAAACCTACGCAGACACAGGGAGAATGTGCAAACTCCACACACAGTTGCTGGAGGGTGGAATCGAACCCAGGTCGCTGGTGCTGTGAGGCAGCAGTGCTAATCACTGAGCCACCGTGCTGCCCCGCTCCGTTGAACTTGCCCCCTTTCCCCTTTAATGCATGTCTGTCAGTATTAGACATTTCACCCCAAGGGAAAAGATTTTTACCGTCAACCCTATCTATGTATCTCATAATTGTATAAACTTCTTTCAAGTTTCCCCCAGCCTCCGCCACTCCAGAGAAAACAACCCAAGTTTATCTAGCCCCTATTTTATAGTTTGTATCCTCTAATCCAGGCAGCATCCTGGTAAACTTCTTCTGCCCCCTCTCCAAAGCCTCCATGTACTTCCTGCAATGTGGCAACCAGCATTGAACATGATGCTCTAAGTGTGGCCTAACCAAAAAAGCCTGGTGGATCACTTCAGGTGCTGTCAAATGCCAACATGTTAGTATTCTTGATGCTGAACTTTTTATTCTAGATTTTATTTAATTAATTGTATTTAAATTTCCCAGCTGCTTTGGTTGAATTTGAACTTTCATTTCTAGATGTTAATCTGTGCCTCTAGTTTACTAATACGGTGACATAATCACTGTCTACATGCCCATTATGTAGGTCAGTTATTTGGTTAGTACAAATTACTCTCCATAATTGCAGACCTTGTCGATTATTTCCTTTGTGGAATTGTCAAATTTGTCGTGGGTCCTGATTTGCTACCCAAACATTAGGCTATGGATGCTGTCACTGCTTTGCTACTACCTGCCCTTTGAGGAATTGTAACTGTTTATTTTTAAACATTTTAATTATTTCTTTTGTGAATTTACCCTCAAGTCCAAAATATTCTTGTCTGCGTGTTATTGTAATTTTTTCTTGTATGGTGACCCTAAAGTTGTGCATGTCCTGACAAAGTTAGCAGCCACTATATAGCAACTGTTCAGTTGACTGATAGGGGTGTAAAAACACTTTGCCCAAGCCTTCTCAAATACTTGTTCTGTTTTAACTCTGATAACAATTTGGAATTAAGTCGCTATCATGAATTTTCTGCAATATTTATATATTTCGGCTCTTTTTGTAGTTACTGTGGAGCTGGATATTCAGAGCTTGGCTGTGAATACCATCCTTCAGTCCCATCACATTAATGATATGGAAGGAGCATCCAGTATTGGTGTCAGCTTTGATGTAATCCAGCAAGCTTCCCTTGAAGACATGATGGCTGGTAACCAGGCAGCTAATGCACTTGCCAGCTATGATGAAGCAGCATTGTGCTCCAACACTTTCAGGTATTTCTGTGGAGGGAGGGGAGTTTGTCAGTAGTTTCACTGGGACTCTTCAGCAGGATCTGAGTATTGATCACTCTGATATTCTTTTGGGTCAAGAATTAATACCAATTTGCTTCAACGTGCTATAACCCTAGCTCTCAACTTGGTGTCAGTTGTTAATTCCTTCCAGTAGTATAGCTGTGCAAGGTAGATAAGCCCACTGTTGTTGTGTAGTTATCGTGGGCAATTTGTACTATTCCTTATTCGCATTCATGTGTCTTTTGTTGTTCCAGAATTTTGAAAAGCATGGTTGTTGGCTGGGTAAAGGAGATCACCCACTATCAAAATGTTTATGCTGATAACCAAGTGATGCACTTTTATCGTTGGCTGCGAACACCTTCATCACTGCTATATGATCCTGCACTACATCGTATTCTCCACAATATGATGAAGAAACTGTTTCTGCAGTAAGTTTTTAAGAAATGAAGAATGAGAATAAGCACTTAAGACAAAACTACAAGCACCTTGTGAAATTGTCTGCAATTTCTAAAGATATTATAGCCATAACATTTTAACATGTTTTTTTCCTTAAGATTTTGCATGTTTGCTTTCAAGCACTTGCTAAGTGCATCTTCTGTCCTCTCCAGATTTCCATTCAGAGAACAAAATAACTGTTTCAGACAGTTTCCGTACCCTCATGTGCCAACAAAAGTCTGGTTGACCAAAGAGAATTATTACATGTAGTACTCTAGTGCTGGAAGCATTTGTGGCTACTGTAGAAATGGCAGACATCCTGTTGATGTTCGCAAATGTCCAACTAAGTGACTTTCTAGGCCTTTGGAGGCCAGTTGAGTCAACTGGGAAACCGAAACAAACTTCCAAAGTTTAACAAAATGGATACTCTTATTACATTATGCACAAGACTCCTTCCTGACTCCATGTTTAAGAAACCCTAAAAGGCAAGAAATGTTACCAAAGTTTGTCATGGACAATGGTCCAGAGCAGATCTGAGAAATGTGTAAGTATATAAAAAAGAATTGTGAGCACAATAACAGATTCAAGTTGTTGGTTGAGATAAATGCAATTAGCACAAAAATGAAAAGACGGGAGTGGAGAAAGAATATTCAAAATATCCCATAAAAAGAAAGGAACAGCTAGGACTTGTAGGTTTTCATTGCAACACCTTTTGTTTTATTTTAAGGAAGTGTGTGGAGCCCAAGGAGAACGTGTTCAGCCAGCTAGTGGAGTGTGATGGTAGATAGCGATTGTTGAGCTGCTGTTCAATGGAAGAAACAAGGACTCTCGGGCCACCCCGATTATCACAATAATAGGGCTATACAGCATGGAAACACCCTTCAGTCCAACCTATCCATGCCAACCAGTTATCCTAAATTAATCTAGCCCCGTTTGCCAACATTTGGACAATATTCCTGTAAACACTTCTAATTTGTGTACCCATCCAGATGCCTTTTAAACGTTGTAATTGTACCCCCCACATCCATTTCTGGCAGCTCATTCCATACACACAGCATCCTCTGCCTGAAAAAAATACCCCTCAGGTCCCTGTTAAATCTTTCCTCTCTCATTTTAAGCCTGTGCCCTCCTAGTTTTGGACTCCCCTACCCTGGGAAAAAGATCTCGGCTATTCATCCTATCTAGGATCCCTCATGATTTTATAAACCTCTATAAGGTCACCCCTCAGCCTCCATGAATAGAATCTAGAAGGCTTGAATATCTATGTTGAAAAGAGCATGGTGAGAATAAGAAAACACAATACTGTGTCATTGTGTTGGAGGTCCTTGGAAAGATGGTGCATGTACGTGACAAGATATTGAACAAAGGGAGAGAAAGTAATGTCCAAACTGGAAGAGATTAGTTCCTTACAGCAAGAAAAATGCTGAAATGATGACTGTACCGGGACAATTCTGTTTTGAATCTTGAGACACAGGTGGAGGTAGACTCTGTGTGGTTGGCAGCTCAGAAGGGAAGCTGCAACTTGTCCATGCTGACCAAATTTCCCAAACTTAGTCATACTGTGGGATTGATGACCACATGAAAAAGTAGATGGAGTCTCAGTTTAATATCTTAAATTTGGCACTTATAGCAAAGTAGTACTCATTCAACTCAGTTTGTACGTTAGCTGTGGCTTGATATGTGGCCCAAGTCAGAAGGTTTTGGAATTAAATTCTAGTCCAGGACTTGAACGCGATAATCTAGGCTGATGCTCCAGTGCAGCATTGAAGCAGCGCTGGATTGTGCTGTGGCTGTAGGAGGCCAATCATCTTAACCCCAACGCATTGCATGCAGGAATTCCACATGGTAGTGTCCTAAGTCAAAACATGTTCAGCTGATTCATCAATAACTTCCCCTCCATCACAAGGTCAGAAGCTGAGATGATTGCACCATGTTCAGCACCATTCACAGCTCTTCAAATACTCTGTGTTCAAATGCTGTCTAGACAACCTTTAGCCTTTGGCTGATTCAGTGGCCACTAGGATTTGTAGCATTTAAGGTGCTATTAATGTGCCAAACTGAGGGAAGAGAATTTTTAAAAGTACTGGATGAGAGAGAGCGAGACTGTGAAGTGGAAATTGGAGAGCGCATTGATGGTGCTAAATTTCATCTCCAGTGGGAATGTGGTATGCTTACAAAAAATGTCACTTCCAGGGCAGCTCCACCACACCCGGCACTTTTCCCTGCAACCGCAGGAAGTGCTACACCTGCCCCCATACCTCCTCCCTCACCCCCATCCCAGGCCCCAAGAAGACTTTCCACATCAAGCAGATGTTCACCTGCACATCTGCCAATGTGGTATACTGCATCCGCTGTACCCGGTGTGGCTTCCTCTACATCGGGGAAACCAAGCGGAGACTCGAGGACCGCTTTGCAGAACACCTACGCTCGGTTCGCAACAAACAACTGCACCTCCCAGTCGCGAACCATTTCAACTCCCCCTCCCATTCCTCAGACGACATGTCCATCCTGGGCCTCCTGCAGTGCCACAACGATGCCACCCGAAGGTTGCAGGAACAGCAACTCATATTCCGCTTGGGAACCCTGCAGCCCAATGGTATCAATGTGGATTTCACAAGTTTCAAAATCTCCCCTCCCCCCACAGCATCCCAAAACCAGTCCAGCTCGTCCCTGCCTCCCTAACCTGTTCT